GGGCAGAAGGGAGGGGGGCATCGGCGTATGCTTGTATACAACTACCCCCGATTTCCATTTTTTTCCCTAACTCGTAATGTATTTAATTCAAGTGAAACGTAATCATGACGTGTGTTGTCATTAATCTCCTCGCCGCCTCTCCCGTAAGTACATTCAGCCTTACTTTCATCATAAAATATCCGATTCCTCGCGAATAATTGCCCTAATCTGCTCTTTTTGACCGTTTTCGCTGATTTACTGACGGTGTGTGCGCGCGCGCGGGCGCAGTTTCGGACGCGTTGAGAGCGATTGTTGGCGTTTTTCACAAACAACAAATATCCGACGACGACTTTTTTTGGGGGGGAGCTGATCCGGGGAATGGAAAGCCATTGATAGGGAATATCCGTCGCGTTTGCACCTCGCGTTTGCCACACACGCGTATTCACACATATTGATGATCCGTGTGTGTGTGTGCGTTATGCACATCATACGTGTTCTGGCACATACACACTTCCTCACTTTTGTCTCGTGCCGTGTATGTTGCCGGTGTGTGTGTGTGTGTGCGTGAGCGCGCGCGCGAGTGTGTGTCTATGTGTGTGTGTGTGTGTCCTGAAAGAGATGCGAGACTCAAGCATGAAAACGCAACTTTCATTTTTAGGGCCCTTGAATATTTCCACAGCCTCACGAGTGGGGAAGTGCACTGAAGTGGAGACTGGATGCTTGTAAATGTTGAACTTTTTGAAGTTGGTAAAAAAAAGGCAAGTGCTCATTTCTCATCTGCAGAAGTTTTACACTTTATGGGAAGCTCAGTTTATAGTGTCGAATAAAATGCGATGCATTGCCCAGACTGAACTCGCAGCGCAGGGAGTGTGTGTTTTACATGAATGATCAGCGTGCAGCTTTGATGGAGAGCTTTAGTGTTTACTCGGTGATTGTGCTGGAGCTCTGCATGTCCTAACGTCACCTCGCAGATGCGCGCTCCTCATCTCTGCTTAAACTCCACCGCGCACGAACCTGCAGCAGATGCTAATGTTAATAACATCCTAAAACCCTGAAGTTTCCCCCGCCGGTGCTTTTATTTAGTAATTAATTCGTGTATGTGCTGGGATTGGCACAATCGAGTCGGAGCCCCATGATGGCACTTTTCAGCTGCACCCTGATCGCTTGTCCTTTTCCCCTCCCTTTATCTTTTGTTGAAAGAAAATCGGCAAGAAAATGGAGCGCGCAACATCCCGTGCTAAAAAGCTGCGTTTGCGCGCCTCTGTCAGGAATTAGTCGCGGTTTCAATGCTCGTGCGCGATTCGGAGGAGGTGTCGCGCGCGCATTTGTTTGTGAGCATTTATTTATTTCATTAATGTGGCTTTTTAATTGAGATGGCCGCGAGAGAGAAGGAAGGCGACTGAAAATGGTTGCGCGTTACTGACGCACATCACGCGAGGAAATTCCTCTCCGCGGACGGACGGGTCATCCTCAAACACTCTTAAACTTCAGCCACCGCGAAATGCATCGCGAAGGCGGCGCGCTTCGGCGTTATGTACCGCTGCACGGCTCAGATGTGGGCTCCGGCGGATAAAGGCTGTTGTTGCTGTAATAATAATAATAATCTGTGCGGGGTGACGGAATGAGACCAGCCCTCCTGAACTGACACACACACACACACACACACACAGGCCCTGTAAACAACTTTTACAGTCTGCTCCTCTGCTTCGGATTTTGCAGACACTTTTAAATACTGTTAAATGACTGGCTCGAATGCAGACTTGTAGGAGTTCCTCAAGCTGTCCTGTTGAAGAAGACACTGAATAGACTCAGTGCTCAGTGTGTATGTGGAGAGATCTGTGCAAGAAACAACAGGTTTAAAAGTTTTCCCTTGTGGAAATCTGGAAATATATGAACGTATAGCCTGTTATAGCTATATATATATATATATATCCTGGTGAAAAAAGGGGTGTTTTTTTCCACCAGTTATACGCCTCAGTTTCTATTTAACTATATATATATATATATATACAGTTGAAGTCAGAATTATTAGCCCCCCTGAATTATTATCGCCCCTGTTTATTTTTTTCTTCACCAATTTCTGTGTAATGGAGGGCAGATTGTTTCAGCACATTTTTAAGCATAATAGTTTTAAAAACTTATTTCTAATAACCGATTTATTTTATCTTTGTCATGATGACAGTAAATAATATTAGACTAGATATTCTTCAAGACACTTCTATACAGCTTAAAGTGACATTTAAAGGCTTCACTAGGTTAATTAGGTTAATTAGGCAGGTTAGGGTAATTAGGCAAGTCATTGTATGATGATGGTTTGTTCTGTAGATTATCGAAAAAAAAAATAGCTTAAAGGGGCTAATAATATTGTCCCAAAAATGGTGTTTAAAAAATGAATAACTGCTTTTATTCTTGCCGAAATATATATATATATATATATATATATATATATATATATATATATATATATATATATACTGGCCAGGCTGGTGAAAGGGTTTTTTTTCCTCCAGTTATACGCCTCAGTCTCTGTTTAACTGTGAGATTTAAATACTGCATTTTGGTGACATTTCTTTGCTGGATTAGCTGGTCAGATGTCATCATAACCACACTTTTTCAAGTACTAAAAATATTTCCTAAAAATATGCGATAAGAAAAATTTAAACAGGACTAATTTTAACAATACAAATTTATTACATCATATATCATTAGGGGAAAAAAACAATCTGTTAAAGTTTTAAAGTAAAAAAAACAAAAACTGTAGCCTACTGTCATTTAATAGACAAAAAAAAAAAAAAAAAATTCACAATTTGGCCATTTCAATAAAAAAAATGATAATTAAAACAATAATAATAATAATAATAATAAAACGAAAATAATTAACTCTTCAGAATTTTTTACGCCTCTTTGGAAAAAAAAACATTTAAAAATTCCTGGAAATCAACAATAACCAAAAAATATTCAAATAAATGTATTATGTTCTGCTTCTGGTGCTTCACACCATTTTATTGCTCATTTTTATTACAGAAATAAGGTCCAGGATTTGGAAAAAAGTTCCCTGTAAAATGTTTGCTCTGTTTAAAAGCAATGCAGTAGTGAAAGAAGACTTCTACAGAATTATTAGCCCCCCTGTTTATTTTCAGTGTAACTCATATGGTGAGATCAGTAGGAGGTTTGCTAGAATGCTGTGGAGGACCATAAAGTCTGACTCGGGTTTATCTTCATTCAACAGCATTATCGCTGAGCCAGAGTTTGATTTCGAGAAGACAATCTTCTAATCTCTTTAGCTATCGTTTTTGTGTGCGGATTGGTCATGTGGCAAATGCCAGACGGGCTGGACCATTTTACAAATGTGGGCCGGGAGTTGTATTTTTAATATATGCATTGTTTTTCATGCAGGCAGCTTTCATCTCTTGCGCGATGTGAACATTATGGTGATGATGATAATAGTAATAATGATAATAATAAATGTTAAGCGTTTGGCCCAATCAGCGGCTGGTTTCGAGATGGGCCGACCCAATCAGAGTTTGCACTGATGTTATCAAAATCTGGCAAGAATGTCAAGCAAACAGTAAGTGTAACACAAGCTAATCGTCAGAGATGGACTGTAAAAAGGCGACGCTGACGAGCAAAACAACACCTTTAAACTCCAAATGCACACAGTTTACTGAAATATTCTCAAAAAGGGAGCAACATGTTAGCGCAATGCGTAGCGATGTCGCCTAACAGTAAGAAGGTCGCTGGTTGGCTCAGTTGGCGTTTCTGTGTGGAGTTTGCATGTTCTCCTGGTGTTGGTGTGGGTTTCCTCTGGTGCTCCGGTTTCAGTCCAAACACATGCACTATAGGGGGATTGATCAACTAAACTGGCTGTTGTGTATGAGTGTGAAAGAGTGTGTATGGGTGTTTCCCAGTTATGGGTTGCAGCTGAGAGAGCATACGCTGCATAAAACCTATGCTGGATAAGTTGGCGATTCATTCTGCTGTGATAAACGGGTTGTCAGTCACATACGTTAACTGTTTAAATGTCTAGTACATATGGTAGTGCTTGTGTTATTTCACCATCTGTACACCAGCATAAGTAGTGAATGTGCATGTCTGTGTCGGTGTGGTAATGATTGGTGTGGTAATCAGGGCGGATTTTTGTCCCAGCCCGCCCCTGTGAATAGGTATATAAAGCTGTGTATCATCTGCATAGCAGTGATACAGAATCCAATGCTTTCCCATGGTAGTTCCTAAGGGTTGCATATATAACATGCATAACTTAAGGAAATGTTTTGGTGCATCAAAAAGTGTGCGTATGATGACCATCCGGCAAGCTATCTAAACAGAAAAGAGCTTAAAATGCAGCGTTCAAACCTCAAAAATAAATACGAAATGAGGCGAAGTAAAAAGAAGCAGCCCTTTCACCAGGCGGCCCTGTATATATGTGAATGAGTCAAAATAGACTCGGTATGCATACAGACAGCTCTGTGGAAGCAACTGCAGGGTTAAAAGTGTCCCATATGGAAATCTGGAAACACAGTTGAAGTCAGAATTATTAGCGCCCCTGTTTATTTTTTCCCCCAATTTCTGTTTAATGGAGGGAAGATTGTTTCAGCACATCTCTAAGTATGATAGTTTTAAAAACTCATCTCTAATAACTGATTTATTTTATCTTTGTCATGTTGACAGTAAATAATATTTTACTTGGTATTCTTCTATACACTTCTATACAGCTTAAAGTGACATTTAAAGGCTTCACTAGGTTAATTAGGTTAACTAGGCAGGTTTGGGTAATTAGGCAAGTTATTGTATAATAATGGTTTTGTTCTGTAGACTACCAAATTAAAATTAGCTTAAAGGGGCTAATAATATTGTCCCAAAAATGGTGTTTAAAAAATTTAAAACTGCTTTTTTTCTAGCCGAAATAAAACAAATAAGACTTGTTTCAGAAGAAAAAATATTATCAGACATACTGTGAACATTTCCTTGCTCTGTTAAACATCATTTGGGAAATATTTAAAAAAGAAAAAAAATCAAAAGGGGGTGAATAATTCTGACTTCAACTGTATATGAACTAATATTACACATCATGAATAATATATTTGAACATATAGAATGAGAGTCCAAATATGCTATGACAGTTCTGTGCAAGCAATGACGGGTTTAACAGTTGGAGATATATGAA